ACACAGTTCAGAGATTCTTAATTAGGAAAGTGACAGTATACATCAGGGATGTGTGCTACAAAGCAAGTTCGGGATATCCAGGATATCTTTTTCACTTACCCTGTTGGTTCTTTCACACCAAATGTTAACTTCCAATGTGACATCATTCATTCAACTAATGCCAGGTGAAACTTCACATCAGCTGTGATTACACTACGACATCCTTAGCATAGAAATAAAGGTGCTCTTAATATTTATTGATGCGTATCCGGGAACAACAGACTGTATATAGTTTGTCAGAACTACAGGACCTATTACTGTCAGGGAAACGATATCTTTGGACTCTTTAAGGAACGGTGACAATATTTAGTTTTTTATATTTTGCTCTCATATCTCAAAAATAATTCCCTCCAGAACATTTTAAAAGTTATCAAGGAAAATGTGTACCAATCTTGTAACACTGAAAAACAGGGTTAAACCTTAAGTTAGCCTGTTAAGCCCAAAATCCTACTTTGTAGTACAGGCCTCAGCTGCTAGAGAACAGAGTAGATGCAAAGATTTAAGAATACATTTGCTGAATAATTTGAATTGCCTTATATACCTTCCAATTACACCACTTTGTTACAGGCACAACTCCTTCCGTCGTCAAATGAACTTATCCAATCCCGACTTCAACCCTGCTCAGTTCCAGCGCCAGGAGTCTTTGTCTGGTTTGGGTCGGATCAAACCAGAACTTTACAAGCAGCGCTCGATAGATGCAGAAGATGGCCATAGAACCTCTAACTGTGGGCGCCTTCACTTTATCCTTAAGTTTGACTTTGACCTGGAGCAGCTGATCGTGAAGATCCACAAGGCCCAGGACCTTCCTGCCAAGGACTTCTCAGGGACCTCTGATCCTTACGTCAAAATCTACCTGCTGCCCGACCGCAAAACCAAGCACCAGACCAAGGTGCACCGGAAGACACTCAACCCGATTTTTGATGAAGTGTTCCTCTTTCCCGTGGCGTACGCAGATCTGTCGAATCGTAAGCTACACTTCAGTATTTACGACTTTGACAGGTTCTCTCGCCATGATTTGATCGGCCAAGTGGTGGTGGACAACTTCTTGGATCTTTCCGACTTTCCCCGGGAGACAAAACTGTGTCGGAACATACAATATGTAACCTCGGTGAGAACTAGCTTCTTTACATTCTTTGACTGTCCATTTTACTCTCTCTTCTCTTTGTCATATTAAGGTCACATTTATTACATTTACTAAACCTTTTATTATTTATTGTCAGTACCATGAGACTTGATGGCGAGACCAACACTATCTGTAGCTCCCAAAATCCCTTGTCCTTTTTTCAGTCTGTGACAAATCTGCTCAAACAATCAAAAAGAGCAAGAACTCCTGTAAAACCCTGTTATAACAGCAGAGGGAAGGAGATAAGTCATCTGACTTGTATCTCATTTCCCCTCCAAGTGGAAGTCATCTGCGGTTTCAAGAGGCAAAGACATAAAAATATACTTAGACACAGTTAATGTTTAATGAAACCAGTAGGGAACACTTGGGGGTAGTGACCCAGATCTACACATAAGATTAGGGTTGGTTTGAC